TTAAATGAGTTTGCTAAATTAATTAAGCCTATTATTAAAAAAAAGACTTTAATGACATGTCATGCCAATGGGAGAGAGTGAGACTTTTGAAGTGCCAAGTATATTTGGAGGAAAATAGCGATAGTTGAGTGATATTTTGATCCTAAATGAAACATAAATGATATTTCAAGGCAATTCCCTAAACTTGAGTGACCATTTAGGAAATTCGTGTGTTGTCATTTATGCCTTATTATTATTATTATAAATCCAAGCAGTAATATTTACATAACTTATGGATGAGTTACAGGCATTTGGGCTTCTTCAATAAATTAATTACTGTGGATATAAAATATTTTTACTGTGGTGCAGAATTGGTGTTTTAATTTACTCCAGACAGCAACAAGTTGAAGTGAATCTGAAGGTGTACCACGAACTCTTCAAGCCAAGCAAAAGCAGTAGTACCATTAGGGAGCAGCACTTAATGTCGAGCAATTTGGACATATTTATGAGCTAAGCAATGGTACCACTAATCAAGTCAAAACCTCACTTTAATTAATGCTAAGACACAAGAGACTAATCCATTTAGATTTGAAAAGGGGAACAAACGTACGTTTATATGAAGCTCTAATGTTTGTTCTATGAAGCTATTGCTATTGCTATTGCCTCTTCCCGCCGCTCATAAGTTTCCATTTCCAATAATTCAAATTATATCATGCAATGAACCTCCCACCCAAAATCAACATCATCCCTAACCTCACATCATCATATGAAATCCCGAAAGACTTGATTTCAAAATTTCAAAAAATTGATTGACAAGTTTATATTTCGTAAAAACAATCCACATTTATATCTACAACCATTTATTTCATATGTAAATAAAATTTATAATTACATTTAAATAATTTATATCCGATATAACCATTATACCAACAGTGGCGGACCCATAATTTTTGCTCAGGGGTTCAAAGTATTAAATAAAAAGTCCATGTGGTAATACAAGTGCGCGGTGAGCATAGTAGCCTCTCGGGATGCTCTTTGTACAAGAACCATAGATAGTTCATTGGTTCATAAAAGTAAAGACTAAACTAATCAAAGATATCGAGGACAAAGATACAGTGATAAGAATTTTAGTAGATAGATTGTATTACATGAGTTAATTCCTAAAACACGTGAAAATTAAATGATGATAAAAGGGAGCGAGACAGGGAAGAAAGATATTTACCTTATCATGCTAAATATAATTTAAGTTACTTTATCATACTGTATTAGGCATTTCTTTCTACTTTTATCATGCTCCATCGAGCATTCTTAATTTTTTTTTTGTGCTTTTTATACTTTTATTTGTAATGTTTTACTTTGTTTTTCACTTTTTTAATTTTTTAACTTTGTATCCATTCAATCACATATTACTGTGAAAATCGTCAAGATTCTCATAAAATGTGTAAGAATATAGTTATTGATATTATAATGTATATTCAGAAGATAAATAAATAGCATCGTCAATTTTTTTAGTTCATATAGTTCAATTTACTAGGTTAGTCATAATTTGTAAAAAAGACAAACAATGAATAAATCAAATAAGTTAGTTTCCATCTCTCTAAAATAAAATTAAAAATATAAAAGAAATTTCATGAATTCTATAAATTAATATTTTTGAAAGGATGTTGACGACGATATTTAAGTTTCTTCATTCAATTACATCTAATTTATCTTTTTTTTTAAAAAAAGAATTATATTTCTATCTCAATTTAAAGTTAAATATAATTCATCATTTTTTAAAAGAGTTATTCAAGTTAGTATATGAAAAAAGAATTACGTTGAAACAAAATGACTAATAGATATAGAAGAAAAAAAATAAAAAGAAAAAGAATGTGTCTAATAAATTTAAACAAAAACAAATTTATAAGAAGAAATGGAAAAATAATAATGAAAAAGAAGAAGAAATACTCCCATAAATAAAGAACTTGTATATGATATTAACTAATTGATTTGATATAAATATTTTTGATGGAGCAGTCATTGGTGTAACTTCCCCTTCAGAATTTGTATGCGTGAAATTCCAAAAATGGACCTTGGACTACCACAACGGGCCCAAGTTCACTGTGATCCACTGGAGCAGTAGTAAGTTATAAGCTACGGCGATAATTTTTCCAACCGCCTTTCGTAGACTCCATTTTCCATTTTTGGCGGGAAACAGAAAACCCTCATTCTCCATCAACAATGGCAGAAGAAGAAATGGAGGCGGCGGGAGAAACCGAACAAGAGGTAGAAGAGGAGTTCGCCGTTTGGAAGAAGAACACGCCGTTGCTCTACGATCTTGTCGTCTGTCATGCCCTTGAATGGCCTTCTCTCACCGTTCAATGGCTTCCGTCCCCCACCACCGACGACGGTGCTTTTGCTGTACACAAGCTCATTCTCGGAACTCACACCTCCGACGATTGCCCCAACTTCCTCATGGTCGCAAATGTTCATCTCCCTCGTAATCCTGCTTCAGGACTTGAACACAATCTCATGAATCCTCAAATCCCTAAGGTCTGTAACTCCTTACAATCGGTTAAACTGCACTAATATTTGAAAAAAAGTTATTCCTTATCTGTTAAAATGCGCTAATAGTGTAAAAATTAGTTACAAATCCTCTATTATATTCATGTTGAGTGATACATATATGAACTGTTTGATGAAATATCCAAATGAAGAAAGTTCTTTGTAAATGAATTAATTTATGCATATGTGGTGCCTATTGGTGTTTATATGAAGGAAGTTTAATCTGAAATTGTTTTTTTCCCTAGTGTTTAAGACCTGTGAATAAATTGGTCAATTAAGTTTATCTAGTGTTCACAGGTAGAGATAGTACAAAAGATTCATGTTGATGGAGAAGTGAATAGGGCGAGATGTATGCCACAGAAGCCAGCTGTAGTTGCAGCAAAGACTAGTAGCTCTGAGGTTTATGTCTTTGACTCAGCTAAACAACCCCTTGATCATGAAGGTGGGTCTTGTAACCCTGATGTTAGACTTCGAGGGCATGATAAAGAAGGTTATGGCTTGTCGTGGAGCCCATTTAAGGAGGGTTTTCTTTTGAGTGGTTCAAACGATCAGAAGATTTGTTTGTGGAATGTATCTGCATTGCCTCAAGATAAAGTGCTTATGGCCCATCATACTTATGAGGTAATGTGATCTGTCCTTTCACCCAATGTGCTGATTCAACTGAGTTTCTTTTGTTGATTCTGGAGTTGAATATCACTGCGGCAGATGAATTTAATTGTGGTATTTTTGTATAGGAGCATGAAGATGTAGTTGAGGACGTGTCATGGCATCCAAAGAATGAGAACCTATTTGGTTCCGTCGGAGATGATTGTCGTCTGATCATTTGGGACTTGCGGACAAACAAAGCCCAACAGTCAGTTTTAGCGCATGAGAAAGAGGCCAGTGTCTTTAAATTTCATCTTGTTTAATATTTTACTAGACACTTTTTGATCTGTATCATTGAGATTGATCTCTACTATGTTTATCTAATTGTTTAATGATAACCCATAGATCATGCGCTAGGCACCCAATATGGTGTTAAGAGAAACATATGAAACTATGATGTGGAACAAAAAGTAGATTGTTATTCATGACTCGTGTACAATGTTAGCTGAAAGGAAACAATCTCTTTATTGTACAGAAGAAACATTCTGAACTTTATCCACGACTCATGTGCTATGCTAATTGTTAAGAAACTAGATGAGGAGTCTTGGGCCTCTGCATTATATTCATTTTAGTTATGAAAGCTTCATATGGAACTACTATGATAGGACCGTTGAGATGTCATGAGTATTGGAATAATGGGACCTCCAACAATGGGTTATCCTTGGGACATTTTAGTGGTTTTAACTTTTATTTTTATCTGTTCGAGAGGTTAATCCTGTCACCTGCTTCACATGCATTAATGAATTGCGAAATCAGAAAGTGAATAGCATGTGCACCATCTGAACAAACTTTTCCTCAATACTTTTCCTGATGCAGTCTCGCTGATCTTGTTTGTTCTTCCTCTCTGCAGGTGAATTATTTATCTTTCAACTCATATACTGAGTGGGTTCTTGCTACAGCATCGTCAGATAGTACTGTTGGTCTGTTTGACATGCGAAAGCTTAGCTCTCCATTGCATGTGTTTGGCAGTCATACGTATGTCCTTCAGCTTATTTCAAGTCTCCAAATTTATTGTAGTCAATTGTTTAAGTCACTCCATTATTTTATTGGCTTGGTGACTCTGCAAATCACAGTTTGCTGATGCTCGTCTCCGGTGATGACTGACTTGTTAATATTTGGATCCCTTCCTTAGTATGCAATACAGAACTCCTTTTGAAACAAAAAACATATGAAAACTAGGAAGTATCTGTCTAATCTACTTGTCGTGGTGCAGTTCTTTCGTCATTGTTGCATTATTTTGCCTGTATATGCACACTGAAATTGGTCAAATCTGTTGTTGCTTTTGAGCCCTGCTTATGCTCTTCCTCAGCTAATTCCTAGTTTCTTTGATGACATTGCAATAGGAATTCTCATGCATTCTGCTAAAATGTGAAAACTTCTCTACCTTTTGTTTCTACAATTGATAAAGTTTTTGTCACTAAACCTTTTTGTAGGGATGAGGTATTCCAGGTAGAATGGGATCCTAATCATGAGACTGTACTGGCATCTTCAGGTGGTGATAGAAGGTTGATGGTCTGGGATCTTAACAGGTACATCATGCATGAAATGAATTCCACTACACAAAAACGATGGTGGTGGATTATCAGTTATCACTAAAGTTTAATGAGAAATAATGGTGATAATAACCAAAGAATGAATTGTATGGTTGTCTGACAATAAGATTGTTGTCTTCAGGATTGGTGACGAGCAATTGGAAGGGGAAGCTGAAGACGGGCCCTCCGAACTTCTTTTCTCTCATGGCGGTCACAAAGCAAAAATATCTGATTTTTCATGGAACAAGAATGAGGCATGGGTCATTTCAAGTGTGGCAGAAGACAATTGTGTCCAAGTCTGGCAGATGGCTGAGAGCATCTACCGTGAGGACAATGACAATGGCAACTGCTGAGATGTTCAATTTTCTCTCCATTAGTAATTGTATGCTGCAGATGTGAACTAGAAGAGTGTTATATATGGCATCGAATATAAACTTTATTAGGTGCAGAATCATCAAGTAGAAGAGTACCGTTGATATGTGTGGATTGCATTGTTAACTTAAAGGCATACATTGAGAACTGAATCCATGTGCGAGCCACTTGTACTATTAATCATGGTGGTTTGAACTCGCCGGACTTTTTATTATATTATAGGTCTCGGTGCAAACTTTGTTAGTAGGGAGTACTTTATCTCTTGGGGATCTACCTGCCACAAATTTGGCCAATTTGCTGAACTCATGTTTTATGGTACGTGATGATGAGCCAATGGCAAGTGTCAACAATCCTACCTCTCTGCTTGCTCCAAATATGAATCCCCATTAATCATGAATCATGAATCATGATTGAACCATCAAAGCAAAAAATAATTAAACACAACCAACAATGTACAACTCAGTTGAAACATCAAATTCAAATTTCACATAATAAAGGGGAGACACAGATTTTGTTCTTCCCCTACCAACCACTCCATGACCAGACCAGCGCCATTATTGATTCTTTACCCAATGCCGAAAGAGGACCAAAACCAAACATAGAAAAGGAGAAAAATCCCACGAGGGTATATGGAATACCACATATTTCACCAATCATGGTTTCTACTTCATGAGATTTATCCTACTTCCTGCAGCTCAAACTAAACACCACCTATATGGTGCCACAAGTATTATAAAGGGAACAGAAACTGAGAAACCAAGCAAATGCACTTCAATAATTTGTCAAGTGTGTTCCAATTTTTCCAGCAGAACCACGAGCATAAATAAAAAGCCACCATCTATTTCAAATTTAGCGGTTTCAAATTCACATAATCTAAGAAAGAGAACTATCAATTTAGACATCCATAGGCAAGAGGCGACATTCATCAAAGATCAAAGAATGAATAAATACAACAGTGAGGAATAAAGCTTCCAGATCTTCACAGAAAACCACAACCCTTGGTATCCTCTTCATGAGTTCTGCTAGCTATATTCGTTTGGTTGTTTCTGCTTTACATGACTGTTGATAAACAACGGACACTCAGATACCTACTAGACCACCAACTCAACAGCCAGAAGAAGATTCTCAATTTGAACTCAGCAAGGTAGAGAAACTGGGAGAAATCCCCAGAGAGGGCACATAATTTCTCCCAGTAGAGAGCACATGACAAAACATACTTATTCTCAAGAACAATGATGCTCTCCTAAGAAGTTCATCAACTTGTTGTTGTTGTACGCGTGCCTCCTGAAAAAGCAAAGCAAAGCAAAGATCAATATAAAAGAGAACAGCCAGGAGGGTTAAACACAAAACTAAGTTGTCATTCTGCCCTGGTACATCAATGTGTTTATCACTCAGCTCAATGAAAGAGAAGTCAAAATTGAAACCACTGGTTCTTTTGCACCACCAACTCAATTAAAACACAGAATAACTCACTTTCATTAATTTTAATAATATAAATGTCATCAACCAATACACAACAGACGCTTGGAAACAGTTACTTTGACAGGCATTGCAAATACATGGATCTTTCTTTTGTCGAAAAAACAAACTTTTTTCCTAAACAAATCTTAAGGACAAAAGTTCTGGCAAAGATACCAGAAGCCACCCAAGATCTCTGACACTCCTTTCGGATCAAGAAGATTGCACTAACTGTTTCAGTTCACAAATTTCAGAGTGAAATCAAACACATATAGATTCCTTTTTTTGGCATTAATGGAACTAACAAAGTTTACAAGCTACATAAAAGGGATTCTGGATTCAATAGGATGCAAACTTTGGCATTTAAATTCTTCTTGTCATCATAATTTTAGAATTTCAGTCAAAAAATAATTATGTCTGGATATTAATCAAGCTGAGCAAAGAGTGTTTTTTCTCTTTTTGTAATAAGGTAATGCCAAAACTTCTATTCACAGAGCATCCATTATATGCTCTATTTGCAGCAAAATATCAGACACCTAACAATTCTTTTTACCTACTCGGTAACTCACGGACTGGAAGGAATCAATATATTCTTCCAAATCATCTACTAAATCCAACTTACACCAAAAACTAAAAGATTTATACACTTCTCCCAAGGATGTGCTGGTGTAGTTTATCTTCAAAGCATCTTTGATTCTATTCTTTCCAAATGCACCAGATTCCGCACCACAGAAATGTGATCCAGACTTTCTTGAATATTTTCATTGTTTTCACTCCATATTAGCAGAGGCATTATCACGACTAGTTTTTCTTTAGCATACATATATTTAGTTGCAAACAATTTCCAGGGACTTGAGGACGGCCCAGAATGCTTAGATAATATTGGATCTTCGGGAAATGGTATCAGAATCTGCATCAGTCCTACTTAAATACCAATAATTTAAAGTTCAGATGTACTTGCACACCCCAACTCTTAATAAGAAAAAAATGTTTTAGATGTAGTTGATCTTAGTTCAAATGTACTTATAAATTGTTTTATAATGACTACTATATTATGCCAATTTTTAATTAAATATTTGTCTAAACTAGACCGAAATTAGATGCTTGGACTCTTGTTACTTGGAACCCCTTCAGCCTTTTCTTTTCTGTTTCTTGTTCAGAAATCGAGGGAGTATTATTAAGCATGTCAATGTTTACTCTCTTCATTTATTTGGAAATCAAATTAAGTACCATTACCATAAAAATCACCTATATATACAAATATAATATAATATAACATTTTATATATATACATGCCAACATTAGATAACATTTTATATAAACACACGCCAACATTAGATAACATTTTATATAGACACACACCAACATTAGATAACAATGTCTTCATCAAAGTCCAGAAGATTAAGGCTTACTACTCTAAGCATTTCCAGGTTAAATTCAAGGGAAGAAAAGAGGGGAAGACTAACTACAGAGCCAGAATAGCCTCATAATTCAGGACAAAAACAAGTACAACCCTCCAAAATATCGTTTAAGTTGTCCGATTTACTAACAAGGTTTAGGTTTAGTCCCAACCTGCTGCAAGTGTAAGACAATGAAGATAGATTTTACTGTCAAGAGTGATTTGCTTAAAGGTGAGTAGAAGCAAAATTACAATGGCATTTAACCCATTTTTGAAAAACAACAATGGCAGTTCTGCTGGACGAATAAGTAGTTTTGGATTTCTATGTTTGTGTTTTTCTTTTGCGTGGGAGGAGGGGGTTTGGCTAATATTGGAAAAATTAAAATGACATTCCTAATGATGTGTTGTGCACAAGTGCTATTGCTTAATGCATTTGGTCATTGGTGATGGTTGAGTTCTCTAGGAAGATGGTGGTAGCTTTGGTGTTGGTTGAAGATGGTTGCCGGGGAGGTGTAAAGTTTTGGGGGATTTGTGGTCGACAAGAAGGGGAAAACATGAATTACGTCCTCTATGCGTTGCTCTGTTATGTGGGGATGTACGGAAGGAGGAAGGAGGAAGAAGATGGTGTTATAAGAGAGGAAATGTTGGTATTTTTTTGTGTTGCTCGGACTCTTCAAAAATGCCAACGGGTGCGTGTCGGATTCGCCAAAAGTAGTGTAGTTTTGGAGAATCCGAGACGGGTGCGGCATCAAAAGTGGAGAGTCCGCGCAACTACTATTTTTTGACCATGTCAACATAATATAACCTATTCACACGCTCAAATATAAGTGAAAATCACTATTTACCATGCCAGTTGAGGTACATTTTTTTTTATGTATTCACACATTTCCTCAATATATATATATAAACAAAAGACTTTTTTTATATATACATGCATTCCCTCCATCCACCAAATAGGAGGTTCGAGAAGTTGATTTGACTTATGAATTATATTAGTTAATAGAAGAACAACAACATACCTAGTGTAATCCCATGCCACAAGTGGGGACTGGGGAGGGGAGAGGAGGGTGTATGCAAATCTTACCCCTACCTTGGAAGGTAGAGTGGTTGTTTCCAATAGACCCTCACCTCAAGAAAAAGCAAATAAAAGTAGTTTGGGAAAAGAAATATGGAAGTGAAGAGGCCACGAAAAAATACTAACGATAGGCTGGGGAAATATATTAGTTAATAGTTACTGTTAAAAAAATATTAAAGTAGTGGCTCGACTATATGAGTAACTGTACAGTGTACACAATAAAGATACCCTTTTGTGAAAGTAAAGAAATTAAGTCCTAGTCTTATATAGATACTGCACTCATGTGACTAAAGGACAATGCCTAGTTTAGTTAAGTTGTAAATAGTTAACATAGTCCAATTTTCAGATAATATCAACTTTAAGAGAAACTGCACATCAGCTTAAAAAAAGAAGAGAAAATGCACATCAATTCACCTTTTCTCTTGCTTTGACCAGAAGTGTTGTCAGTAGGTGTGCTATTACCCACAACACACCCAGGAACCTCCTCCAGCCCAGTGGTTTGATTACCCAAGCATTGGAGAGTCTCAAATTCACAGTTGTTGAAGCCTTGTCCATTTAATACAGTGCCATCTGAGCTTTTACCTTCTGCACCTGGGTGGAGGCAATAAACCTGATCATCACATTGTAGATTGCAAGAGTTCACCACATATGCTCCAGGAAAGTTAGGATTAACTATGTGCTGATATGTATTGCCACTCTTCATGGGCTTCTGATATGGAAATGATCCAATTTCCCCTTCAATCCTTCCTCGTATATCCACAAGCAAACACTTGAGCCTAGCAACCTCCGCTTCCAATACGGCCTGACCCTGCAGCCTCTTCAAGAGTTGCTGATTTATAGCCCTCAATCTGATAACTTCATCCTCTAATGAAGCAGCCCGAGCCTTCTTTTTCTCACGATACTTGCGAACAGCTTCCTTATTACCCACAGGGCGTTTCTTCCCTTTATTATCTGCAGACTCTGCAGTATCATCACTGGGGTTCTTATCGTCATCTGTGGTAGGCACAATTTTGGTGTGAACATGGTAACAAGTGTGAGTATGAGAGTTATCAGGACCAGGCGGGTTACAAGTGTGGGCATGAGTACAGGCATGCGCATCCTTGAGAATCTCATTGAAAAAACTGTCCATTGAACTACTAAATTCACCAAAATTCGAACTTGACAACATTTCTTGGTTAGAAATGTCCAGCTCCCCGTCAGCCATAATAGAAACCTCAAAAGTAACCAATATGTCAGAATCTGCAGTAAAACACTAGCAATTCAGAAACCCTATACGCAATTTTCAAACTGAGATAAAAAAAAAAAAAAACCTAACAACTAGTCCAGGCAAAAACAGAGCAAACCCTCAAGAAAGGAAATTCAATTACACCAGACATAAAGTTTTCAACTTGAACATAAAAGATACAATATTTACAATTTCCTAAAAATCCCAAATCTTGAAATTGAAATTCTGACATAAAATTTCAATCTGGGTCAAGTTCAAATAACTTAGAAGAAACAACCCAGCAAATCACAACAAAGCTAGGCCATGGATTTCGATTCATCGAAATCAATATCAAAACAGTAAAATTGAATTGAAACAAACTGAAAAAGACACAAAAAGAAAGCACTTACAGTGAAGCAGAGTCTTGAGGCGTGAAAAAGGAGAGAAAATAGGGGAATGAGGAAAAGTGAAGGAACCCTAGAAAAGGCTAAAAAGGATGTTAAGATGTCAAATTGTTTTAATGGCGGAAAAAGAATGGAGGAAAACAAAGGGGCCACTGGTCAAGATTCCAACACATACACATAACACACATGCGCGCACACACACAAACACAAACGACTGCTGGCTGCTGCAAATTGAGCTCCCTCTTTTCCCCTTTCTGCAAATCTCAATTGTTATTTATACCTATTTGAGGGGCCGATCCTAATTATTTTTTTATACGGACTCAACTAGCGGTGCACCATCAACTACTTTCATTTTTCAGGTTTAGTCACGATTATTTATACCATATTGAAGTTTAATTAATTCATATTTACATTTTGTAGGGTTCATTTAAGAGATAGTCTTTTTAAGAATTTTTTTCATGCTCAAATATCGAATTCAAGACCTCTAATTAAAGAAGGAGTATTCACAACACACAATCAACTAATTTCTTTTCGCACTTGGCACTTTCCTATGTTTTACTTTCTTTTTTTTTCCATATTATTTAAATATTAGTATCAATATATAATGCAATATTATTTTTATAACAAGTTTTATTTATTTATTTTTATGAATTTTGTCCAAGACTTAATAGGTTTGAAAAGTATTTTAAGTGAAATAATTATTTTTGCGGACCTTTTCTTTTATGCACATTTCTTTTTTTCTATTATTTGAAATTGTATAGCTATAATTTGGTCTTACTTTTTAAATTTTTCATTAACAAAGTTATCTAATATCTGTGTATAAGCTGACTTCGATAATATAATTACATAAAAAATATTGTCCATTAAAGTTGAGATTTTAATGTTTCTACTTTCTGGATTTTATAAATATAATGTAGGATAAGTGTTCCATCTTTCACATGTTCATCCCAATAAGTTATTTGACAGCTTTGTTTAGATTTATAAATTAGTTTGTACTAAAACAAATATTAATGTGCTAGTTGAAAAACGTAGCATATTAAAATTAAAAATAGGCACTCCATTGTTTGTTTAATCTCTTTTTTTTTTTGACAAAATCAAATGAGCTCCATCTAAATATGTTTTTTGGGGGGTTTAATTTAGTCAATTGAAGACAAGAATATGAGGAAAGACTCAAAATAGTTCCTCATCTTTGGGTTAAGGCTCAAATTTATCCTTGAGTTTTCACATGGAGCACTAATAGTCCATCATGTTTGCAATATTGATACACTTTTGGTCCTCCTCCAAAATTTTGCCTATTTTTTAACATTGATTTTATCCATAACTTATGTATGATATGTTCAATCGTCATTTTATGTATTTAGTAGAAATAATAACTCCATATGAGAAGAAAAACATCTTGTTTTGTTAAGTAGAAATTATATTGCAGGTAAAGTCGAGAGGTTCATCACGATAATTTCACGTGCAATAGTACTAATTTTTTTCTTTTCTCCAACGTCATATGTTAAGATGTTCTTAGTTTAACTGCAGTAATATTTCTACTGAGCAGAACAATGTGTTCTTCTTATCACCTTCTCTCACATAGAGTTATTATTTCTACTAAATATATAAAAAGACGATTGGACATTCCTTACATAAAATTGTGGACAAAATTAATGTTAAAAAATAGGCAAATTTTTTGAGGAGGACCAAAAGTGCACCAATATTGCAAACATGAGGGACTATTAATGCTCCATGTGAAAATTCAAGGATGACTTTGAGCCTTAACTCAAAGATGAGAGACTATTTTGAGTCTTTCCTCACAAGAATATAATCAAATTATTGTGAATAGACGTTGACATTTAAGTAGATTGCCCATTTCAAAATTGCACTTGTTTTCTGGGCCCCAGTATAATTATTGACTAGAAAATTCAAAAATAACTTTAGTATTAAATTTTCAATATAATGAAGTAAATTACTGAGTTAAAGATAATAGCAATAGTAAGATTGAAATAGAGCAATATTGACTGAACAAAACTAGTAGTTGAGACTGAAATTAAATAAAAATGCATATGAATCCATAAATTGGTAAACAATATATGTATCTAGCTACAATGTTTACAACTTTAAAAAAAAAACTAAGTACTAGAAGCTAAATAAATCATTTTCAGATTAAAAACAATAAAGGAATAATGTTCTCAACAAAAGAACTAACAGTCTTTAGTATAAATCCACGAGGAAGCACCAAATTATAAGTAGAGGAGGCATTAATAATGTTTGTTGTTGCTAAAACCTGATTTTGCTTAGACATGTGGTTTTGAAAAGACAATCATCTTCTCCTTCTTGTAAGTGGAATAGTTGATAAATTTCGTAAAAGAGCTTTGTTAATAAGATCATCGAATATCCAATCGCTCTTTTCAAGTTTCGTATTATACAAATGTATAACCAATTTCCCCGTAAGGGCGGTATCGATGACTATATTCTTTTGGTAGTGAAAAACTCCGAAACTTGTCATCTCTTAGATCGAAAGAGAACATATAAACATTGTTTGAAAATTGAGCCCAATAAATAATTCCGTTGAGAAAATTACAATATAGATGGTGTACAACAACAATATCTCCAACAAGAATTTGTTCCTAGAGTTTTAATTCTAATCATAGTAACATGATTATTGTATTTGTTGATTTCCACAAAAACATGAAATAACTTGTATTTTTCGGTCACCAAATCAAATCCTAGATATAATAAATTGTATTTCATGTGATTCAGGGGAAATGACAAAGTTTTTATCTCTCCTGTAGTGACATTGAGCAAGTAATTAAACTTGAGTATCTTTATTGCTATAATACAAACAAACAAGGCCATTGCAATGATTAGAGCAAATAGACATGATCACGAATCGTTTTTTATTTTCCTTTACTGCAACAACGATCTTTTGTAATTGGCCAGGATGTTTTTGGGATGGGGCATGGTCTGACTTGGCAAAGTAGAGATCATCTCGTATCAAAGTGTTCCAAGCTTTAGAAACACAATTAAAACGCATACATGAGAGACTTGGCAGAAAACTTCGTTAGGATTTCTAATACTATGTCCTTGAAACAATGATTCTCCATAAGAAAACAAAATTAAATAATATTGTAACTTTGGTTTCTTTCCCTAAACAAAAAGTTCACATTTTTTTTTTGTGGAATATTAATAAGTGAAAGAATAGAATCAACATTGGATTCTTTGAGAATTTAATATCAAATCTCCTTAATACTAATTAATTAATCTCTGATACCTTGCGTAAAACTTGAATTTGATAATATATGTTCAAAATAGAAAATTGAGTTTTGTAATTTTGCTTGTAGACCTCTTATAAATTAATTTATTTTAAATTTTATGCCTTTTATTCAAAAGATTTTTATTCTTATAACTAATTGAGATATATTAGTTTCTAACTCACATGTCTTGCACAGGTGACCCTACAACTATTGTAAAAATTATACCTAAAATCATAAACTTTTAGTACAATATTTAATTAGAAAAATTTATTAGTTTAGAAAAGATTCAAATTTACCAGTTTACAATCAGAAAATATACCACTAATATCATTAGTTAAGCGATTCAAATACGCCATTTCTCCGTTATGGTTAAATTCAATGATTAAATCGCCGCAAATATAATTCGATTTTTAAGATTAGCTTCGAATTACATAGAAAACTAATATTTACTATAAATATTCAATATTTTCTAACAATTTTTTGGAGTTATAAAATTAAGATTTCTATTTGAAACTACCTAGCTAACTGATAAATATTAAAGTAGTAAAAATTATCAGCTAAAGAGGATGGAATTGGAAATAAGATTAAAGGTCTAGAATATTATGATTTTACCAATTATCGAAATCCCAATCTATTTACTCCATTTTGATCATAAGTCATGATTCATGAGCATCTAACTTATCGTAATTTATCTCTGTGGCAATGAGACAGATTTCATGAGAACAAGCAATGTTAGACTTAACAAAATTGGGATATGATCTTATCAAAGTATTCCAAATTTTAAAGCTTAATTTATATAAATATCATAGTGTTAAGAGCTCATTACATTATTTTCCTTTCTCTTTTCTAAATTACAAAAATCTCTATGGATTTCGGATACAACACTTGACTTTCGAATACATCAGCAAATACATATGGGAGGAGAGGGATGTATCCAAGAGAAGAGAGATGTATCAGAGAGAGGATAGAACATCCGGATACATAAGAAGAGATATATCAAAGAGAGGAAGGATGCATCTATAACTATGCACAAATTAAAAGAGAAACAAAATTAGTCTTAGTACGTTAATATTGCCATAAGATAAAGAGATACTTATAGCATAATGTTTTAAATATTTGAGTTGGATTCTCACTTGGGCTTTAGTTAGGACAAACTTTCAATATTTGTATTGGACTACCTAATTAGAATTGTTTCCATAAGAAATTTAATAGAACTAAGTTTTACTCTTTAAGTAACGTTATATGGATCACAAAGCTATATAGAATTGGGTCTCACTAGTGCTTTATTTAGATTTTAGGGCAAAATTGGTTTTTTTCCCCCTATTTTTGAAAAACGGTATCTTCCGTCAAAAATGTAATGGCAAGAATATTTCTAACCCAAAAATATAACGACGATAAATTTAACCTACTTCTAATAATTCAAAGATATTTTTGATCATTTTCCTTTTAATTATAAGCAAGCTAATATTGTTCCCGGAGGAATTTTGATAAATTTTTAGTCCTTTATAAAAATAAATTTATATACCCATCTCCGCCAATTTAATAAGTAATTACAACCCATCCAAAAGAAGCTATGAGGATATACAGTAAACAAAAGTCCTCCATACCAAGGATAGAAGAGAATTACACAACTACCATAGAAATTAGCAGATTTGTCGTATCGTCTTCTAATAATGGGAAGTTACTTGTTGAGTTGAAATAATGTGTTTTAATTGTTACTTAAAATTTATTATATGTTATTGTCGTCTTCTAATAGTTGAAAGTTACTCCCCATGTTCCTAATTACTTGTCCACATTTTCTTTTTTAGTTGTCTTTAATTACTTGTCCATTTTGACAAATCAAGAAATGACAACTTCTTATTTGTCTTGTTTATTACTTATCTACTAATCTTATTTTATCTTTAACTTACCTCTCTATAATAGCTCTACCTCATAATTGTGTAACGACGAAAAACAATACAGCATAACCAAATGTTATATACTTATATTAAAATAAATATAATACAACATAACATAATACAACACACACTATAATATAATACAATACATTATGAAATGACATGTAATTTGATTACCTTGTGAAAGTTTCAGAACTGAAAAAAAATCTCCTCCACCAAAGTTAAACTATCTA